GTTTTCTGTGGACTTTCCTCCTAAGCCTTTCCAAAACCTGGTTCTATAAACTACACTGTCTGACATAATGATCTAAAGCAATGCCTCTCAACCATTAAGAAACAGCACAATCTTCATAATTAATTACTAGATTCTCATTAATATTCCTCAAACCAGCGCAGAGGTGTACTGTACTCTGAAAAGCAGTAATAACAGCAAAGCTTTTACTGATTTTGAGTGAAAACACATCAGCGGATTAAACCTCTGTGGAGTCTGCTATTGCTGGAGCACCTTTACTTGCAGAAGTGCCTCCAAAAATCACAGCGCAGCAATGGAAAGACTATTTGCCATTCCCACGTGCAGAGCAATGTACACCACCACTAACAGTAGCTGTACAGATTTAGAACTGTTTTCTTTTGCTTGAAAAGTACAAACAGCACTGGCTCCACAATTTTTCCCCCGCTACACAGATACTTACGTTTTAAGACACAACATGCCCAAATGTTTAGCATCTTTGCACCACCCCCCCCCCACTGTCTTTACCAGAAGTCAGGCATTATAAACAGTGAGCACAGTCCACCATTAAACACTTTTCTGCCTGTTTAACACTTAACTTCAGGAACAGGCAAGCTGTCTATAGGAAGGTGCTTTAAAAGGCTATTAAAAGTTTCCAAAAGCCATGGAACAGCATTTTGGGGCAGAAGACAAAAACAAACAAACAAACCCAAACCCCCCCCCACACACACACACAAAACCAACTAAACAAAAAAAAAAAAACAAACCACAAAGGCTCAAGGAAGGCTGGATGAGCAACCGGATGGAGCGTCTGCTAGAAAACAGGGGCTGTGCCTAAACTATCTCTTCCCAATCATTTGCCCCAACCCTTGTGCCTCAGTTTCTCCACCTCTAAAGCACGGATAAACCATCCTTAAAAGGCAGACTGAGACACTCACAAGCATCACTATTAAATTATTACCCACTCTGACAATAGCCTAGACACCAATCATCAGTGACAGTCTCTCTGAATTCACTTACACACTTGAGCTTGCACCAGCATTAGTAGAAAGATAAACTTTCAAGAACATCCTGAAACAGTTATTCTCCGACTATGGCAATTACTTTTTGTTTTCTCAGAACTTAGATGATACACAGATTGACTTAAAAAAAAAAACAAACTCACAATGCTACTTTCTTGCACACAAGTTTAAAAGGTTAGTAACTATTTCAGTCACCTTTCAATTAATTTTTCATTTATTTCAGGTGTCTGAGCTCAGCCTGCTTAGCTATAATAGTAGCTCTCTCATGCCTCTGTGCCTGGATACCATAACACCCTTTATATCTTTTCTAAAGAAGAGGGAGGGGAAGAGAAGCATTTCACCACTGCCAGCTACATTAGTAGCTGCTGTATAAACAGGTATCCAATACCCTGCTGGCAGTGTTATCAACATTACATAAACTGGTACCAAGCTTTAAATAAAATGGCATTTTTTAAATGATGGGATATGGTTATACCACGGTTTAGTTAAAACCAAAAATCTTTCATCGCCTACAAATTATATTTAATCTAAATCAGATCCTAGATCCAGTTCACCATACAAATACAAACA